TTAATGTTGTAATGCCAATTAAGATAAATTTAAATAGTTTTATGTTTTGATCTTGTATGTTAAATAATGACACATATTTATGATATCTGAAATAGATAATTTACTATTCATATAATTAGTCTAAGATTTAAAAAAACCATCTGCTATAAATAAATTTAATAGTTCTCTTAGATTGACTCTAACATCCTTAAAGAAATAGTTGGTTAAACAATAATAACGAAAATAGATATTGTAATTAGAAGATGAAGAATAAGGCATAGGATTTAATGGTTTTAAGATATCAGTTCTTTTATTATTCAATGGTTCTAAGAAACATTCTACATAAGCTGATCCTAATCTTTCAATACGAAATTATGCACTGCAAATAAATTCCATTATTTAACAATCATAAAAATTTGTATTCAAAATATATCTACTTTTAGAAAATTTAAATTTTTAGGTAACTCTAACATGATTATTAATAATCAATTTTTCAAATTTTTCAGTTAATTCTGTTTATACTTTATAATTATATCTTGAATTTTCCATTGATTATCTTTTCATTAAATGTTCCTTACCTATAATCTTTATTTTTTATTCTGTAAAATCTTCAAATGTTTCCATCAATCTATCCATTAATGTATTGAAATTACTAAAATTCTTATCATGTTCTAAATTTAATAAAAATACTTCATTCAATAATCTATTCCATATTTATATCTCAATTAATTTATTATGATTATCCTCATTATTATGTAATTTTCTTGAAAAACCTAAAAATTTCATTACATTATCTGATATTTAATTATTTTGATTAATAGCTTACTTAATTACTTTATTTTTCATTAAAATCTCATTACTAATTTAAGCAAATCCAATTCTAGATTAAACCCTCTTCTTTTATTTTGCAGATTGCAAATCAAAAGGAGATTATTCTGTTTTCTTCATTAATTTGATTTTTTATATTAAATTCATATCTAATTATGGATGCTTTTTAATATTTTCATGATTTACTTTCTCCTTATTAGATAAATCATTATAATCAGTAAATTAAGAATTATCAATTAAATTGAATATTACATGATCTTTAAAATCCATTTCTTAAAAATCCAATATATTAATATAAGTCATTAATTTTCTTTTACTTCTTGGAAAATAATAGATAATTTAAAACATATCTAAATAAGTATGGGCAAGTATAGAAATGATAACAAACTCTTATTTTAACAATTTAACATTCTTCATTTCTTTAAATTTCATTTCATTTACTATTTTTTATTTATTTTTCTATTTTATAAGATAAAATTTTTATATATAATGTCCTATAACTCTAAAGATTCTATGAACAGTATTTAAATAATTTTTATCAGTTATATTTTAATCAAAATTATTTTTTGGAAATTCATTAAATGTACATCTTGTAACTTTTTCATTATAATTCACATTTAATGATTACTATCTATTAAAAAATGAATTAAGCATGAATTTATTTAAATTTACAGGAGATTAATTTTAATTGTATTTCATTATTTAAGGTACTCTATATAAAAATCTTTTATCAAATTTAGTATTAGATATTATAGCTTTACACCAATTAAATATAATATTTGAATCAAAATATTTTTCAACATCAAATTATAATTCTAAATCAAATTTATTAAATAATAAAATGTATTTCTTCAATTTAGAATTGAATTCATATAATTCTACACTAACAAATAAATGTTCACCATCATAAATATATATTTTCTCTGAACCTTTTTATTATTTTTAATCTTGTATGAAATACACTTTAACATGAACATAACATGATTAATTATTCCATAACTTTAATATATATATATAATCCAATCTATCAAGAAATTACAATAATTTTTTTGAATTACTTACTAATAATACTTTTATTTAATGATAATTTGGTAATTATGCTTTTAGATAATTATAAAATTGATGATCTTTTAAATATAAAAATGAAGTTGGAGAATATAATACTCGTATAATTCCTGTTAAGATTTAGCATTTTTAATGTTTATTCATTTTTTAACAATTAGAAATTTAATGAATTAAATGAAAATCATGTAAATACAATATTATAGGTGATTGATTTTTTTTTATATAAATTATCTTCATAAAATTAGTTTAATTAATAAATAAAAACTTACTTGTAGACATTTCAAAACTTTAATATTTATTGTAAATCATAGTTTATTTATGTAAATCACTCCATTAATCTTAAAAATCAAATGCATAATCTGTTACTTATTCAATTTTTCTAGCTTCAACTGTTATTCTCATATCAATTTAATTTATATCCTAAAATAACTTATTGAAAGGTAATAATTATGCTATTTAATTCTCTTTCTCTCTATTTTCATAACCTCTTCTAATATCAAGTTACTCATTAGGATATACACTATATTTAAAAACACAATCTATTTTATTATATAAACTTTGATGATCCATTTTTTATATAAAATTATGAGTTTTTGATAAAATATGAAGATATTTTGGTTATATAATGATCTTTCTATTTTTTATATCTAAAGTAAATGCATTTTTTAATACTAAATCAGCTACTTATGAATATGAACATTATTCAGATATAATACTTTTAAGAATTTAATCAAAATTACATTATTATATGTCACCATTATTAAATGTAGTTTCTTATAAAGCTTATCCTAATTTACAGAAGTCATCCAATTTTAATTTTAATGGTTTAAAAGCACGTTCACTTCTTGATTGTTTAATATCTTAAAGGAGTTGCTTTTCATTCCATTTAAGTGATTTATCTCTTTCAAATACAGTAACTTCTATTCTTACTTTGAAATATTCTTATTTGAATTTCCAATCAAAATGTGAATAATCTACATCAAAAAAATTAGTTATATTTTGAAATCCTGTTCTAACTGAATGTTTTTATGCATTAAATAATAAATCATCAAAATGGAATTTACTTTTTAGTGTCAAATGTAAACTTATCAGACAATATTTACTAATTTAATTACAAATTTAATAATCATAATGATTCAATATATCTTATATATTAATAGTTGCACATTATATATAAATTGATTTATGAGAAAGTTCATATATATCTTCAAGCATTTAATCCTAAAAAAACATACTATTATTATGAACAAAACGAAATGCCAATATTTAATTAAGTATACTTTTATTTTTTTCAATAAAATCCTTATATCTAATAGATAAATCCTATGGTTTTTTATATATGTTACGTCTATATTCTAGGATCTATTATTCAAGTATTCTTAATTATAATATTGTATCATGAACAAGAGGTAAATTTAATATATATTAAGTAGCATCAGACAAAAGATTACAATCTTAAAATTATGGTAATAATTCATAAACTGATCCAAATATCTTTCTAATTCTCACTATTTATGATGTTTATAAATAATTTAAGATTTCCTTTGTTTCTACTATAGCATTAATATCTTCTTCAGTAATATTCTTTCTAGAACGCATTGATAAACCTTAAATGAAATTTAATTTGTAATTTTTGGCACATCCATATTTAGTATGATGTAATAAAGCTAATTAACCTTTTAATTCTAAATAACTCATTAAATAATCACGAACAGTTGGCCATACAGTAATACAATTCTATTCTCCAATATCTTCTTTTTGAATTGCCCCTATTGGAATATCTAAACGATAAAAATATTAAGATCTCCCTTCACCTTTAAAAAATAACACTATACATGTTCTATCTAAAGTAATATCAGAATATTAAATTGACCAAACAACTACATTTTTGTAGAAGATAGAAACATATCTAATAACAGGATAATATAAAGATTATACTCTCTTTACTAAATAATCATTAGTTTTTTGTATCATTTTTTATGTTTTAATTCTATCATAATTTTTAAGAGTATCTGCAACTTTATACAGTGTACAAAATAAACCTAATGGATTTACAACAGGTTATCCAGGTGATGATAATGGACTATTATAAGAAGGTGAATTAGCTTTAATAAAATCAATATCATCTAATCTTTTTTTTAATGCTTTTACTCTATTAGGATGTACTCTATTGTTTTTTATTTTTTATTTTGGTTCAAAATTTTTTTTATTTAATTTAAAAACTTTTAATCTAAGACAAGCCTATAAAAAACGTATACGTTTAAGTACAGGTTCTGAGAATTAAGGTGGTACTTGGCTTTATTCAAATATTGTTTTTTATTTATTTAAAAATACTCTAGTTTATTTTCTTCTTAATATTAAACCTTCATTTAATCGATGTTAAACATTCTTCAATTATGCTAATTACTCAGCATTTCCTTAAAGAATTTAAGAGATTTGCAATGGTTAAGATTATTACATTGTTATTTTATGTAAAATGGCTTTGTAATTTAAGAGATTAAGATATTGATTAGCTATTAATTTTGCTAATTTAAATGAGGTTGGTTTAGAATGTAATTTTCTCAACATTAATGCATTAACTAAAGTGAAGATAGAAAATCTTCTATCTATTTTATATTTTTCTGCCAAATACTCCTAATATCTTTAAGAGTCCAGCATTCTTTTTTTTTCTATTTCTAAAGCTTATTATTCTTTATGTTTCCTTTCTTATTCTAAAAGTTTTACTCTCTCTCTTTCCTCTTATTCCTTTCTAATTTTTTCTTCTTTTTCAATTTTCATCCTTTTCAACTTTTGGTACAATTAAGCTTGCTTTTCCTAATTAAATTTAGGTGGCTCTATGGTTCTTAAATGTCCAAAGTTTTAAACCTAATCCCAAAACACTAAAGGATCAGTCTCAGTTTTTGCTTTACGATGTTTTGATTTGAGTTTAGAAATATCATTTTAAAATATGGATTACTCTAACATTCTTGAAGTCTGAGGATTAATGTAACGTGCAGTTGATTTTGGAGTTTGTAAAGTAATACGAAAAGAAACATGAGATTATTATCTTGAATCATTTCTACTAGTTGGTCTAGTTGTTTTGAGTAGATCCAAAGTTGGTATTTTGTGTTTCATTAATAAAATTAACGATGTCTGCAAATGTAACTATAACAGCCTTTTTCGGAATGGCCGATGATGATTTCAAAGATGATGTCTATGATCGCTACATCCGAGATCTCCATAGACCACGCAAAACAATTTATGTGCCCAAACCCCCTTCTATTGTGACAAAGCACCTTAATGTGAGGAGAATCAATACTGAATACTGAATAATATTAACTATATCTATCACAATAACATTTCAGGATTAAGAATATTATTCCAATCAAACAATCTCTATCAACTCCTACATATACTCAAAAGTTTCATTGTCCCTTTTAAACTTGCATGTAATATCATTTCAATTAACCTACTTCCATATTCACCACACATATACATCCATTCAAATTCTTTGTAAGTGTAATGATCTTCTCTTCTACTCTTAATATATTCCATATGCATCTCCTCTACATTTTCTAACACAATATTATAATTAATGTCCCCATCACCTATATGTCCATAATATGCATTATAAGACCCTTCCCTTCCATAATACACTTACTCTGCAAACTATTCAAATTTAACAGGAACTATGCTAATAATATTAATATTCATTTACCATAAATCATATGTCAATACTTATCCCATCTTATGTAGATTTTCTAAGACACTCTCTCTTCATCTCTGCATTATTTACAACTCTAATTCATTCTAATTGAACATTATCTCTTCTTAATGTTTCAATAAACGCTTAAAATAATACTACTATCCGTAAACTTCAATCAAAATATAATATTTATCAGCTTTAAATTCAAATTGAATCTTCAATTATACATTAAATGACAAACATCTTTATAAAATCTTCCTCTCCATAAATTCAAAAGTACTCAATTAATCAAATTGTTTGGCTGAACTCAACAAATATATAACTTTATCAACTCCAAAAAGAAGACTTACATAAATTCAGAAATCAGAGCACATAATACATTTGCTTATGTAATAATATCCAATGTTCCTTCAGATCAAATAAAAAATTATATTAATCAGTTCTAGTGTTATCTTTTCTGTTTTTATTTTCAATAAATTTAAGATCTTTCCATTTGGCAATACAACTTCTAAACTGAGAATGTAATTTCTTATAAGTCCATACTTAACTACATTCAATCCTCCTGCATTTTTAACCAATATTTCGACCTAAATAAAAAGAACCTCTTTCACAAGCATTTAATCTAAATTAATTAACTGCTATCTTATCTATCTATATAATAGCGGTTAATCAATCAGAGATTATAATATGATCCTGCTGTAACTATGGATGTTTTAATTCTAAGATGTTTCAATCTTTCTTAGACTTACAATCAATTCATTCTATACTGGAGTTGCTCCTACTATAAAACTTGTATTATTTTCTTGAGGTACCACTTTATATTGTTTTAGTTGCAAAATTACAAAACTTCACCCAACTATCTATGATTAAGTAGGAGTTCTAACTAATTCTGATTTACCTTAATAAAACCTCTATAAATCATAATTCAAAAGGTTTCAGATTAAAATGATCTGTTACAGTTGTTTATTTTTGTTTCAGTTTTTATGAATTTCAGATATTGTAATTTTATATTTTCTTGTATCATATTCTATTTTCCCACAATTTACTTAAAAGAATTTAGTTATTTTTCATTATAAATTTAATATACTATTACTTTCATAATAATAATTATGTTATGTGTATACATCATACATTAAGGATTCAAAATATTCTTAAATAAATTAACTGCATACTTTTACTTAAAAAGTTTCTTATATTGATTATTTTCTAATGACATATTTTAAAAAGATCTGAATAGCAATAAAAATGTGGTCTTGTTGTGTTTTTCGTTTAATTTATTTACTTTCACCTAAATCATATATATTTTTAATAATAATAATAAAATTAAAAATTATTTAAGAAATTCAAAGTAATTTGTAATAAGATTGTATTTTTATTTTTGTAAAAGTTAAGAATCATAAGATACTAGTTAATCATTTTATACAACATCTTTTCTTAAATTTGACTCAATATTAAAATATAATTAATCTTTAATTATAATATATTTTAAAGTCATAATTATAATTTAATCAATATTACTTAAGTATAAAAAATAAGAGATCAATTATATTTTAATATTGAGTTAATAATAGTATAATTTAGATAAATACTAAATAAAATTTATTAGATTTTAATGATTAATTTGTGGTGTTTATTTTTAATATTATTTTATTCATTCACAATTTTCCATCTTTTATTTGTTTATTTAAACTTTATAATCTATTTTTCTTAATTTCTTTTAAGGTTTCTTCATCTATTTAAGGTTGATTCCCATTTTTTTAATTAGATATCTTTTTGAGATGTTCAATTTCCAATTCTTTAAACTTTTTCATTACTTCTTCTCTTTTTTCACTTTACAAACCTTTCATCTTCTCTATATTTTAAACTTATTTTCTAAATTCATCCTTAACTGATTAAAATTAACTTTGCATACATTACTAAATATATTTATCTAATAAATTACATCATATATTTTTCTTCTTTATTATAAAATAGTTTTATATTTCATAGCAATTTCAAATTACTCATTTTCTGTATTATTTATTGATTCAGTGGATTTATTAATTAGATCTTCTGTTTTCTATTAAAATTATACACTCTATTATTTTTAATATTCAACTATATCTAGATGTGTTTACATCAAAGCATCTTCTAACTTAAATAATTATTTAATTAACTCTGATTCTTAAGCAAATTATTTTAATATAATTGATTTAATTTATTCTTCATCATAAGCTTATTTCTCTGCTTATTATTATTAATTTTATTATTATTGTATCTATTATATTTATTATTATTATTATTGTTTTTCCATCTTCTCTTATTTCTATTATTCTTTAAATTATTGTTCAATTTATAATTACATCTTTGATAAACTATTTTATTTCTTAAGTGTCTTTTTTATATCTTCATTTTCCTCTCTTAATTATACAATCATCTCTTAAAAATTGTTTGGTGTAGGATCAATATTTCTTGTTCTGTGAGCATATAATAATGTATTAAATGAATCTTCATAATTATTTGGAGCAACATTAGCAATCATAACAGTTTTAGAATTGCCTTATAATGCATCCTTTAATAATCTTGTTAACTTGCTACCTCTAAAAGGTACAAATTATTCTTTTGAAAATAAAGCCTTGATACAATTACCAAGTACTAAAAGGGATCTATTAATCATTGCTCCCTCTACCATTCTTTATCCTTTATTTGTAGTTTAGGAAGCTCTTTCAGAACCTGCTAAATCAACAAAAGTAAAAGTGCATTATTTGAGCATCAATTATAAAACTGTGTGTGATCTTGTAGAGTTTTCATTAGCACCTGTAGGTTCCTTTGCTCTTCTACTATTACCATATTTAATATATTGTGTTATATCATTGAGAGAGGGAACAGGTGCTTTGAATAAATTCACAACCACTAATCCTTTATTTCCATCTTCTCTCAAATCCAATAATTTACCAGTTAAAAGATCTCTAATAGTTTCATTATATATTTCTAAGAAAGTAAGTGATGCCTAAAGATTAGGTATGTTAATACTTAAGCAGCTTATTCTTTTGATAATCGACCAAACAAATCGTTCAAAGCTCTTGGTATAATACCTTATTGATTCTGGCTTCCCATCATACTAGAATAGATTTATGATAATAATATTACGTATGAGTTTTGCCACTTCCTGTAGCTCCATATGCAAAAATAGTTACATTTTAACCTGAAATAAGATCATCCAAAAGGGGTTCTGCTGATTTTTCATAGACTTCTTTTTGATCGGCTTATTAATCAAAGACAAGGTCAAACTCATAAGATGCATCTTTAATTCTATTCTTTTTCAGGATCTTTAGGATGTAAAATATAATATAGAAATGTCATTTTACATCGACAGGGTTATTGAATTCTAATTCAGGATCAAGCAAAGTAACCGTGGACCCATTAACAATAATGGTTTTAAAGGTTTATTAAACTGGTTTGACTCTAATAGCAACAGTGATATTATGCATTTATTTAAATTGAATTTTTTAATATTTTACTTGTATATTTATTTGTATGAAAACTTATTATTAATCATTGGAAGATTCCCTTCTTGGGAGAACTGCTTAACAAAGCAGGTTCTGGTTATTCATCGAGGAATTGAATGGCTTCTCCTTCAGCTAGAAAATGATTAATATATTTAGATACCATAACTGATATCAATTCCTTATGATTCTTGGAATGGATTAATTTTAAATGCACCAGTTCCTTTTAATGGAATAATAAAGATGGCTACTAAGAGTCCCCATCCAATGAATGCTAAGATACCTACAAGTTATAATCCTAATTATTTAGGACCATGACCAGTTACCCAACCATTGGTAAGACTTAGAAAACCAACTAATATAGTTCCTAATAAACCAGGACCCTAAAAGAATAAATTAATTTTAAATACTAAATGTGAAGCAATAGTGTAAGCAGGATCATCAACATGAGATCTTTTGATAACAAGTATGAGGATAATATAAACGACACCAGCCAATACACCAGTAAAAGCAGATTCCCAAATTCTAACATCATTAGCCATAGCTGATATAGCAACAATACCAGCAACACTACCTCTAGACAGTGCAATTAAACTTGTCTTATGAGTTTTCAAATATTATAAAATGAAACTTGTAATTGCTGATAATGTAGCTGCTACAATAGTATTAACTGCTATCAATCCTTATTCATATTTATTTTCTTTTCCTTTTTAATTAGAACCATTAATGAATATTAAAATTGAAATTGTCAATATAATTGATCCATATCCAATATTAATTGGAGAATGATGTGGGAAAATTCCAGGATGTACATTTCCAGCTTAATCTCTTCTTTCTTTCAAAAAGAATGATACAACCAATGCTGTAATACCACCAAATATATGAATATAACTTGCTCCTGCAAAATCTACAAATCCAAATTTACTCAACCATCCTGTTGGTTAGACCCAATGAAGTGCTATTGGATATAATATAGCTGTGATGAATGCTAAACATAAACTAACTGAAAAGAATCTGGATCTTTCTAATGTTCCTAATCCAAATAGAGATGCAACAATGATTGCTCCAACTGTAGAGAAAACTAAAGTATTATAACAAATCTCTATTACTCAAATTAGTATAATCATCTCTTGGGGATTCAACTTAATATCCAATTCCTGCGAATTTACTTAAACCAATGAATTTATTTCCTTTGTCATCTCCAAATGCAAAACCATATCCTAACTATCAAATATTTATATATTTTATTTACAAGCCAGAAAAATAATATAGTTATAACTGATCCCAATAACACTGTTATGACTGATGATTGTACAGATTTATAGCGAACAGCACCTGAACTAATGAATGCAAATCCCAAAATTGTCAATAAAGCACTGAATGATGTTATCAAAACCCAAGTTGTATCTGTATTTGCTGGAGTAGGAGTGCTACTACTAGCAGCATTTAGAACAGCACCAATGTCTTAAAGATGATTCATTAAATTTATTTATTGTGGGATATATATTTTCAAATTCATTTATATCATCAAAAATAAATATAAATAAAAATTAATCATTATTATTAATCATAATAATAATAATTATTATTATTATTATTAATTAATATATGCAAACTCTTGTAGGAACACAAAAAGGCTAAATATATCATCTAGAAATCAACAGACCAAAATCATTGTAACTTTATTATTTCAATAAATTTAGAAATTCAATGTCCTCTTAGCTTTTCTAAGATTTCAAAGCTGCTGTTGATATCATTAATAAAGCTGATGATGTTAGAGTTGTTGTTTTAACTGGTAGAGGCAATCATTTTTGTGCTGGCTTAGATCTTAAGGAAGCTCCCTTAATGTTTTAAGTAAGATCAAATCTTAAATACAGTTCCATGAAGACATGGATTAAGCAAGAAAATCAATTAGGATTTATGATCTTCTAAAAGATTGGTAAATCGCTATGACATCCTTATCAAGAATCAAAGTCCCTGTAATTGTTGGTGTCTAAGGATATTGTTTAGGTGGTGGAGTCGATCTCATCACTTCTGCTGATATTAGATATTGCTCTGAAGATGCTAAATTCTCAATTAAAGAAATTGATCTTGCAATGTAACAATTCTAAATTTATATATACTTTAGGGCTCCTGACATAGGTACTTTATAAAGATTGGGTCTATAAAATGCTAATATATCATTATTCAGAGAATTAGCATACACAGGAAGAATCTTTAATGCTCAAGAAGCACTCAAATTAGGATTAGTAAGTAAGATAGTAAAGAATGAACTTTTAAATGAAGAAATATTTAAATTAGCATAATTGATAGCTACAAAATCACCAATTGGTTGTTATACAATCAAAAGCATATTAACAAGAGAATAAAATTTAGATTAGCATTTAGATGTTATGGCCAGAACAAATATGGCAATGCTCTTTACAAATGATGTTCCTATAGCTATTACATCCTCAATGACTAAAACCAAAGCAGAATATCCTAAATTATGAGTAAATAATAATATATATATATATATAAAATAATAACTATTATATCAGAAAATATCAGAAGATTTTGGTTCATATTTCGTAATTTTTTTTTTGGAATGCTTAATTAAAAGAATTACTAATAACAAAACATGAAAACATATAGGATACCTTTATTTACGTATGGAACAACTATTAATAACATTTCCTTAAAACAATTAGAAGAATCTCCATAAAAATGCACTTAAATTTAATTAGATGATTCTTCATTTATAATTTAGTTAAGCAACTTTTAAGAACTTTGTCGAAATATATTAATTAATAAGAATCTAATTTTGTTAATTTAATATGAAGAATTGATTGATTTTGATGAAAAATTATAGAGTATATTTGATTTAATACAATTTGCACAGTAAATATTATCAATAATTTAGAGTTAAGAAAGTGTTGTGTTATATAAACTAATAAGAATCAATCAAGAAAAGTCAATGGAAATTAGATATAATAAAAAATTATATTGATATTAGTACTCACAAATTTAATTATCCTAATTAGACTAATTACAATATTTAATTTATTCAATCTTCATAAACTCTATTTAATTCATTACACTTTTTTTAAACAACTCCAAAAGATCCAGATTTTAATAAAAATAATGATACATTATTATAAATTTTATCTCGAAACAAAAATGAATTAGAGGTTGCTTTAATCTAAGGAATAGTAATATTATCTGATCTTTGTTTTCTTGAAAATTAAACTGCAAATAATAAACCAATATAAATAATTGAAATAGAAGGGAAAGTAAATTACATAAATTCAAATGAAGATAAACAGATATTTCGAATTAAAATAAGTGATGATACAGAATTAAAAGATTAAACATTTATCTCTAATAATCTAATTTAAATTAAATAACATTCTCCATAAATATTATTTAAACCTTAATTTGATTCTATTGAAAAACAATAAGAATTTTATATGAATTATAGAGATAATTCAAATTTGTATGTTATAATTGGAGGAAATTAATGTAATTTTTATTTTTAATATTTTAGATGATATAAAGTGTTTAGAATTTGCTTCACTTAGTGATTATACTTCCTTAAGATTAACTTTATCTAATTCTAAATTCATTTATACATAAGAATTTTAAACAAATAATAATAATAGTTTCAATATAAATAGTTAGATTCTGTAATATATTTAATTTAACTTTAGGTTATTTAATAAAAAAACTGATAGTATAATAGCTTATGGTTAGGTTTAAAAAGATAATTTTGAAATTCAATTCACTAAAAGAAACAATGTAAAGCAAGATTAAACTGAATTAGTAGAATATTATATTCCTTTAAATGATGAAGATATCATAGTAAATGTTTAAAGAGGAGAATTATAATAAAAAGGAAATCATATAATTAAATGTAGAATTTGTATGGAAAATACATCTAATACATTATTGATTCCTTGTGGACATTTGCGTTATTGTTTTGATTGTTAATCTGAATTGTAAGAATGTTTATTTTGTGAAACAAAAATTTAATAAAGAAAAAAGTTAATTGTAAAATAATTGGATTAAGATAAAAATAATTTATTAAAGGAATTGATGTGGAAATATTAAGATTTACTAAAATTATCATTACAATCAAATTTAAATATTGAATAAAATTTAAAAATTAATAGATATTAAAATGATATCAATTTCAATTAATATTATTGTTAAAAATGTAATAAATCTAAAGGAACTGAATATATTAATTGTTAATAAAATCATTTAATTAGTTATTGTTTAGAATGTTCTTAATAAATTAAAGAATGTGAATTTAAAGGTTGTAATTAAAAAATTATTTGTAAAGGACATATAAAATTTAATTTTGAAGAGTGATTTATTTATAAATTGATCAATATCATTTAAATTTTGATTTCAATACATGAAAATTCTTCATTGTTGAAGTAGACTTAATAACAAATGATTAAGTTTTCTTTCTTGCTGATTTTAAATTACTAAAATCTTAATTTTAATCATCATCATCAGTTGGTTATGTTTATATTTATTCAAAATGAATACTTTTAGAACTTGAATGAGGTCCAATTAATTTCTCTGTTTAACTTCCTACTAAAATGGGAGGTTATTTTTTCTATTCTTATTAAAGATTATGATTTCTAGGACTTTGTATTGAAACTTGACTTCTAGGAGAAGAAGGACTAAAAGTCAATGTCTTAGCTTATTTCATTCTCCTTACAATAAATTGATTTTGTAATTAAATAGGTTTTTTCAATTACATTTAATTAATTTTAGCTAATTATTCTTAAACAAACCATTGATGATTTAAACATTAATGTGAACTTAATCTTTCTTCAGGATTTGGTTAAAGAGTTGTTTTAATAAAATTCATTCCAAGAATACTTAGATTAATCATACTGAAATCAACTAAACCTTCAACATTTTATTCTAATCTTTTTTCAAAATCACCTTCAAAAGGCATTTAACCAGTCATCAATATATATAATGTAACACCTATACTAAATACATCAACTTTTTAATCATAATTTTAATTTAATAGAATTTCAGGAGCAATAAATCCAGGTGTACCACAACATATATAATGATAATTAACATCAGGATTATAAAAATCTGCTAATTAGAATTTCTTTATACAAAGAGTTTCAACATTATCTTGAAATCTAAATATTAAATTTTCTGGTTTAATATCACGATGTATAATATTTTTAGAATGAATATAATTAACTGCTTTAACTAATCGAAAGATAAGTTTTGCAGCTTAATCTTCTGAAAAGAAATTCTCTCTTATTATATAATCCATTAAATTTCCTCCCATTAATAATTCTTATACAACAAATACTTAATCTGTACTCTCAAAAACTTCATAAAATTTAATTGTAAAATCTGATTATAATCTTCTAAGAACTGAGATTTATTTTTATATTGCAGCTCTATCAACTTCATCAAATAAATTTGATTTCTAATATATTTTAATTGCATATTCATTTCCATCTTATTTATTCTTGGCTTTAAATACCTAAGAAATAATAGTTATTTATTAATATACTTCTGAGAATTGACCTCTTCCTATTCTTTTTCTTAAAATGTAATTTGAATTGAAATCTGATTGTATAGTAAATCTTTTTATATATTTGAACCAAGATTAGGCATCACAAAATATTTCTACAACATCAAAACATTTAATTAATCTAATAGCATGTCCATATTTTTGATGATGAAATTACTCTATTATAGCATTTTCAAAGTCAATCCACTTTAATTTATCCTGATTTAGTAATTCTTATAATTACCTTCTTTGTTTTATAGAACAAATAGTTTTCAACATTAATCAAAGTCTTTTACTTAATGTCTCCTTTCTAATTCACAAATCTCACATCATCAGAAATAGAGTAACTACTTATTGGAACAGGAAGAGCAATTGATTTCATCCATTTCATAGTTGAAAAATTGATTTGAAAAAAGGATTTACAATGTTTGTATTCACAACTATCTATTAATATTGAATATATACCTTGGATTTAGATCTTTTATCATTATTTTGATTCTCTTTATATTAATTAACTTATTTTTTAATAATTATTATATGATATCATATAAATTTATACTTTCTTATTTACACCAAAAAACTAAAGTTAAATATGTTTAATATAATCAGAATGAATCAATACAACAAACAGCCAATCCTTTCTTCTTATCATTCTTCCTAATTGCATCCTAATATGTCCATACAAAATCACCATAATCCATCCACCCTAATTATCTAGCTACATTATAAACTCCACTATAAAATTCTATCTTAGTGCATAAATGATATCCACTTATACATGCACCTGATGCTTCTTCTATATTACAACTTATGCATCCAAAATGAATACTAGCACTTTCTAATTAAAATTATGCTTAAGCCTATATAAAATAAGCCTTTATCTCTTCAGTATAATATTAAAACTTATCCAATAAAAACATCATACTACAATAATCCTTAAACCAAGGTGTATTACCTACATATAAAGCATAATCATTAGGTTTAGGAGCTGCTTAAAATATTTTTATATTATCCAAAACTCCATTAATATATAATTTCAATTTACTACTTGTACTTACTAAAGAAACATAAATCCATTAATTAGCCAAAGGTCTACTAACTGAAACTAATCCAGTATTTTCTGATGTTACTGTTTAATCAATATAGACAATGAATTATTTATGTTTTTGATCATAGTATAAACTTGGATAATGAGTCTCCTCATTACCTTTTTAAAATATAGGACAAACAGATCTTGGTCTCTCTGCTCCACTGGTTCTTGGAAAAAACAACCACATACTGTAGGTAAAATATGGAGTTTATTCGTTTTATGGCATTTCTAAAATTTGACTTCCCTTAAACACTCCAGAATAACCATCATCATATAATGTAGGTCCTCTTTCTAGTTCTTCAACTTCATATTCTGATTGATCTATCTTATTTACTACTTTCATATCATTAAATGAAAGTAATATTTTTAATGTATTTAAAAAGGAGTTCTCTTACATTGGAGTACCTAAGTATTAGTTCAGAGTGTACCATTTCCACTACAAAATGGCATATCAAATTCCATATCGCAATCAGATTCCATTTCTTCACCTTCTGCCAATTCATCTTAAGATTTTACTACTAGAAAGAATACATAAAATATGAAAAACATTATTATATTAATAATTCTTTTTAAAAAGCTCATTATTATTCACTCTAGTAAGAATCCTAATCTCTCAATCTCAAATGCATCTAATATATAATTTCCTTCATAGCCAATTGATTTATTTTTATCCTCTCTTAACAAATAATCATTTTCCTATAACAATTAAATCAAATTTTGCATATTTATTTTAGGAGCTACAATTTTGAATAATTCTTAAATGACAGTTTCTAATTTAAATTCACCTACCAAAGTAGGAGTGAATGTAGTACAACCAATTTATTGACTTAATTAATGTAATTAACTTCTCATTTTACCTATTGATGTAGATTTACAAACTCTTTAATTTTATTATTGTATAATGTTTAATAGAGCATAAGTACATTAATTAGTTTCCAAAGGTATTTCTAAGATTAATATCAATACTTTGGAATATTATAAATTATTATAATTTATGTCAGGAGTCCAAATCATATATTATACATATTTTTCTTATGTTTTTGGAACTAAATTAAATAAATTGATTTATTACTAGCTTCAAATTTATAATATTTATTCAATAAACCAATGAATGAATGTAGATCATTTTTAGTCATTGAATATGGATTCTAAACCTAATTTTTAGTGTACTTAACAATTGGAGAATCTGTCTTTTCATAATAAATAATCTCTTTATATTATTCTACTCTTGGTTTCAATACACTTTTAAATATTTCCAAAGTATTTAATTCTTATTGTAAAAACAATAAGGATTGACATTCTTAATAACTTATTTCAAATTACTAATATATATTAATTTATACTTTAGTTGAAATTAGTCTGAGAAATTTTACAAGGTCTGTATTATCAATATTATTAAAGCTAAAAATAATTTTAAGATGTTCTCTAAAGTTATTCTCTCTATTCAAATATTATTCTTTAAGCAATAGCAAATGATTTTTCAATTATTCCCAATCTATAGACTGATCATTTTCTGTACATTTATCTAAAAGTTTTATAAAATCTTTTAGTTATTTCAACTTCTCTTCAAAACTAAAATCAAGAATTTTTCGAGAAAAATTTTTGATTTATAACAGAAGCTCAACTATTTTTTGTTTAAGAAAATTATCAGATTCTTCTTTTTGAATTGGTAATAAAATTAATGCACTTGAATATTCTTGTTCTATTTGTTGTTTATGAGGGGGTGCAATAATGGGAAATCTGTTTGAATTACGAGATTATGGATTGTTATTTTACATACTTAATTTCTATTACTTTTCTTTAAATATAATAATTAAAAATAATTATTGTATTATAGATTGATACAAAATTGGTTAATATATTAATACAATTAAATTGTTATCATCATTTATTAATTCAATCAGAAGTAGGTATATTAGAGTTTGGCAATAAATATAAAAATTGAAATACCAAATTTTGTTTTATATATATTTGATTTTTGAAAATTAGAATGAATATATATATACTATAATAATTTATAGACAATTTTATTAATTATTTCTTTTAAATAATGAATTTAATACATCTGGATTTTCTATATGAAACTATAATGTTAAGATTAATATGAAATTAGAGTTTCATTCGTTATTAATAATAGTAAATTTATTATTCAAATATTAATAGCATTTTTATTCATGTTACATAGTAAATGGAGAAAAAAGACTAATATTATTTTTTGATTATATAACATAATCTTTATGTATAATTTATTTCAATAATAAATTTAAAATGAGTCGTGCAGTGTTACAACCTTTTGAAGTTTATCAAAAAGCAAGAGTTTAATTTGTGTAGACAGTAGCTGAGTTAGCAAAAAGACCATAAAATATTGAGGCATTGCAATCAGCAGGTAATGAAACCGTAACCAATATTTTAGGTGTGATGTCCCTATTAAGACCTTTGCTTTTAGATTGTGTACCATCTATTCAATAATCAGCAGCCTTAGCATTAGGAAGATTGGCTAAACATTCTGAAGATTTGGCTGAAGCAGTTGTTTCCAATGAAATATTGCCATAATTAGTAAGTTCGTTGGGAGAACAAAATCGTTTCTATAAAAAGGCTGCAGCATTTGTACTTAGATGCGTTGCAAAACATTCATCAACTTTGGCAATGGCAGTTGTCAATTCAGGTGCTCTGGAAGCTTTAGTCTAATGTTTAGAAGAATTTGATCCAAGTGTTAAAGAAGCTGCAGCCAGTGCTCTTCGTTATATAGCCAAGTAAATATAATATATATTCTGTATAGACATACAGCAGATTTAGCTTAGGCTGTAGTAGATGCAGGAGCTGTTCCATTATTGGTGCTCTGTATTTAAGAACCAGAAACTACATTAAAAAGAGTATCAGCAGGAGCTTTATCAGAAATCTGTAAACATTCAGCCGAATTGGCTTAGAATGTAGTTGATGCAGGTGCTGCACCATTTCTAAGTGCTTTGATTCCTCATCATGATGCTGAATTGAAAAGATCAGTTTGTTTTTGTTTGGCCAATATAGCAAAACATACAATAGATTTAGCAGAAGCAATTGTAGATGTGGATATCTTCCCAAAGATTTTATATAGATTAAAAGATACAGATCCTGGAGTTAGGTAAATGTTTTTATTAATCTAATAAATAGAAAAGCTGCAGCAACATGTATTAGAGAAATTGCAAGATAATCTTAAGATTTAGCTAAAATGATATGTAGTGCAGGAGCAGTAGTGTCAATTGTTGATTACATTAATGAAGCAAAAGGTGATGCACGTTTACCAGGCATTATGACATTAGGATTTATTGGAGCTTTTGATGAGGCTTTGGCAATGGGAATTATTGCAGCAAAAGGTATTGCTCCATTAAAAGATGCTTTAATAAAAGAACCTGATCAATCAGTAAAGAGTGCTTCTGCTTGGTCTCTTGGTATGATTGGTGGACATTCAGCAGATCATTCAAGAGCTATGGCTGAAGCTGATGTTCCATCCCATTTATTAGCTGTAAATAATTGTTGTTATAATTTTAGGTTTATAAATTTCCTGAATCTAGTGAAGATCTCAAAAAGAAATCAAGTTAAGCTTTGAAATCCATATTATAAATGTGTACTTATTTACCTGCTCTTGAACCATTAATCTCAGAAGCTCCCCCTGATATTTTATAATATGTCTTACATTAATTCCAGAAGACATTACCTAATGATAATGCAGCCAAAAAGTATATTATATATTATTATCATTTTTAGACAATTTGTATTATCAGAAGGATTAAAGAAGATTCAAGAAATTAAAGCAAATCCAGGTTCTAAATTAAGACAATATATCGACGAAATAAATTCTTATTATCCACCAGAAATTATTCAATATTATAGTGCTGGATACGAATAATAATTGCTTAAGAAATTAGACGATTATAATGCAGATTGAACATTTATAATATTAATCCAAATATATATTAAATTACAAGTTAGCAACATAATTAAAATTCATTTATGTATAAATAACAACAATAATAGTAATATTCACATCCATCATAATTGATTCCATCAGTATGTACTCTTAATACATAAGAAGAAGATTAATAAGACTATTAATTAATATAAAGAAAGCTCTAATGTTACAAAGATAATTTGAAAATAATTCAAAAAAATAACGAAGATGATCGCAAGTATCTATCATCATCTTCAGATGTCTTATAATTGACTGAATCATAAGAAGATGATTGTGAATAATTAAAATAATAAATTAACTTCTTACAAGATGAATTGGGTAAAACAAAATAAAATATGATGCAAATAATTGAGGAATTAACTTAATAAAGAGATTTACTTATATATAAGATTCAAGAATTAGAATCTACTATAGATAACTTATAATAACAAAAACATCTTAAAAATAAATCAATTCATTCTACATTATTGGATATTACTTATGAATAAGATTAAACTTAAGATTATGGTAGAAAAAGAACTAGATCTAAATATGATGATTAGAATTGTTGGAAACGTATTTTTGAAGAATTGGCTGATATGTTGAAAACAGAAAATGTAATTCAAGAAGTTCATAGATTATAATAAAAATGCATTAAACAAGATAAATTTATTGGATGTGTATAAGATTTAGTTATTAAATTAACACCAAAAGATATATTTGAACATTCTAAACCTTAATTAAGAGATTGTTGGCATTGGATTAAAGGTATATGTACAGAATATATGAATCTAAAAAAGATGTAAGCCACTCTTATAGTGGAAACATGTTCATAAATTCTCAATGTATAACCTTAAGATATTGTAGGCTAAATTCAATTTCTAATCAAAAGAATAATAGCCTAAAAAAATTGATTGTTATTTTATTTAAATAACTTTTTCAAAAAAATTATTTAATTTAAAATCGTTACAACTTTCAATATTTTAATATTTTATTACGATAATCTCATAATAGAGAATTTAATATTACTTTCTATTCATAACATTATAATAAAGTTATCTATTATAATAATAATTGAGTTTAATCTAAATAAGTTAACTTTTTAATTTATGATAAATTATATTTATATAGAATTTAAAGTATTATTATATGTATGTTTAATATTAGTATAAATTTAGAATTTAAAGCATAAATATCAATGATCATAAGATATTGCATAAAGCATTGTTATAATATAAATATAATAAATAATCTAATTGAATATTAGAGTTCTTGTTAATAGATTTTAATCAAAGAAAATAATTATGAAATACATCATTATTTATAAAAAAAATAATCTCAAAAGACAAATTATCTAATATTTTTTATAAAATTTTCAATTTTATTAATAAATTTAATAATAATAGAATATAAATTTATTGTATTTATTATAGATCCATCATAAATTTATTAATTACAACCTTAAAAGGATTTTAACCTTTTCTTTCTCATTTTGTCTAATAATAAAAAAATTATTATATTTTAATAGATTAAAATCCAATATGTTTTCATAAATATTTACTATTTGTCCAAAAATTTAAGAAAAAGTAAAAAAGAAAGTTCAATTACTTTAATAAGGAATAGAAATTCAAATTATTAAATTTGATTATGATTATTTAGTACATATATTAATTAGTCAGTTTTATATTGCATTTATTCTAAATATCTTATCTTATCCTATGGTTATAAATTAACCTTAAGAATGAGATGTCCAATAGATTGCTAATATGGAATTCAAATGAATTTTATGTGTATGCAAAATAATTCTATCTTTTATATTGTATATCAATAATTAACCAGCTTTATTTCCAAATATCATTATTTATTCATTATATTATATACATGATTAGATTGCAGAATCAAATTTAGTTTAATAAACAAAATCATATTTTTAAGTTGTAGGATTAAATTGAATAAATCTAATCATCTTATCATCTGAGAATGAATAGATATAATTATCAAATATAAATAAATTTAATATATTTGAAGTATGTCCAGTAATAATATGTTTAATTATGAAATTAAAACTATCCCAAATTTTAATAGTTTAATCATGAGAAACACTTAATAATTAATTATTAGAATAATAAAGTTTATTGCATCTTTTTGAATGAGCATTTAATTTTGTACTAAATGTCCAATTTTTATATATATAAATTGATCCCACTTCATCACCAAATATTATAAACTTATCATAAGACAATAATGAATAAATTTACTTTGTTGTATCATTAGTTATTTAAAAAAATAGTTTTGGATTTGAATTCTAAAATTCATTTTAATTATAAACATATACAATTTTATCATCTCCTGCTATTGCAACATATATATTTTTTTCTAATTTGAATTTGATTGCTGATCTTAAAGATTTAAGACTACATTAAAATATATTTAATATAGTTGTATTAGAATGTACAATTATTTTTCCTTAAATAGTTGTTAAGAGAATGGCTCTTTCATAATTTTGATTAATTTATTAATTAATTAACACCATATCTGTAATATCAAACTCTAGTTTATGCGTATGAATATGAGAAATCTTATATTCTACTCTATATTTTGCTATTTCTTTTTCTTTTATCATAAATTATAAATTAGATTTTTAATACTTTTACCAAATTTATTATTATTAATCAATCTCAAAATTTCGTTTAATTCTTTCCCAAATTTCTTCTTTTTTCTATTATTTTTTTTCAAAAAATTGAATAAACAATTACTTATTATCAAGTATATTCAATGGAGTAATTAAATCCAAAAATTCTTAGGATTACATAATTGATGTAAAATATCTATAATCACTTTGTATCATTAATCTTAGTAGATTATAAATTTTAGAACCATAATATTTGTTAATTAATTCTAAATATTCATTTTCTTATTAATCTTCTATCTCAATTAATAAGTATAATTGCATATAACATCTACCAAGATTCTTTAAACTTTAATTATTACTTTAGTATTATTGTTTTATAAAATCTAAGATTAGATATTCTTCTAAACTAACTTCAAATTTGATGCTTTGTAAAAAATTATCCATAAATTACAAATTTTCATTATTATATATAATATTTGATGGCTTTATATTTTTAATCATAAAACCATTTAATTCTAATTCATATAATTTGATTATTGTGTTGATTAAATTTTATGTTACATTAAGATTCTATGTTTTCAATTATAATTCTTTAGCATAATCTAATGGATTTACTTCATAAATCTTCTCATTATCATCAATAAGGTCATTATATAAATCTTAATCCTCTTTTTATTTTTGTGTTTCACTCTAATTTTACTATATTACTTATCTAAGTAAATTATAAAATAGTTAATATTAAATATAAATAGTATTATTTTCTTCTATATGATAGTATTATGGAGCATAAAGAATATCAGTTTATTTGCTTAAATATTATTCTAATTCTAATGTCTTAATCAATTCATTTAGATCATAAATATTTTCAAATTTGTATTATTTTATTAAATGACCACTTTTATTTTCATAGACTTAATAATTAATTCCTTCATAAATTACCTATTTAATTGTTTTATCAATCTATTTTTATTGCTATAACAAATCAGGTTTATAAATCATTATAAAATTAAATTATTTTACTTAATATAATTATATTAAATATTTTATAATCATCCTATACTCACAATTAATTGGAAAGATTTCTTATTAATATTTATCATATAAAATACTTAATAAATAATCAATATTTATTTTATTAAATGAATAAAATGTTAATTTTCATTCCTTTATTGATCTTTTAAAATGTCTATGCCCAATAAACAAATTATGAAAAATGTGCTTTAATCATAAAAAGTATATTTGCTGGATTATCATTAACTTATTAAACAAACCAAATCAATTATATGGAGAATTTAGATTGTAATGGTTTTTTAGATGATATTGCTAAATCTGTTGAATATTCAAATGGTCATAGTTTAGAATAGCTAAAAATTGGATGGGATGAATTAGGGAATGCATTAGGAAAAATTTAAGAATCGATTATCAAAAACATGAACTAGAATGCACTTGATAATAATTCATAATTATTATGGATAATTAGTTTTGTAAATAATTTGAAATTAAAATTAAAAAATAAAATTGTTTGTGAATTAGATGAATAAACAGAGAAAATTATAGAATTAATTTTTGATTTAAATATTTTTAGTATATTCACATATGAATTCATTAGGTGACTAATTCAAAAATTTTAATGAAGAATAGTATCAAACATATGGTTATTCAATTGGTTAAATGTTGTCAAAAATATAATTAAAAATTGTTAATTTTAGTTCCATATCTTAAGAAATGGAGATAGCTTTAAAAGTATTTAGTGGATTTTAATATGGAATATAAGATTAGTCTCTAATTAATAAAGATTAACTAAAGAAATGTTTAGAGGGTGCTGATTAAATTGTTATTTATTATGATGATTTCTCATAATAAATAGATAATTTTATGTATATACTATACCCTCTTTGTGTACACAAATAAATTTATCTTGCATTAAACCATTATATAAATGCATTAGATAAATGTTCAGATTCTATTACTAATGCTTCAAAATTAAGCCAAAGATTAAAACAATTAATCAAAGTATTAGAAAATAAAAAATTGTTAAATAGAATTGATAAATCATATTTATTAGAGTATGTAATTTGATATATATAAATTAAAAGGCATAATATGCAGTTATTAGTTGGCATATGGGATATTGGTTTGGATTTGGTGAAGAAATAGGCATTTATTTAGCAAAACTAGAAATACAATAGTAAAGCGATTAAATTTATCAACGAAAATTTTGAATAAAAAAGTAACAAATATTATTCATTATTAAAATCAATCCATTATAATTATATATATAATAATATAATAGAAATTATTAAAAATCAAAACTACTTTAATTTTCTATATTCTTCCAAACTCATTGGATATTCACATGGTTTTCCTGATTCCTAACATCTTTGACATTTTTTGATATCAAATTCTTTAGTTTTAATTATTTTATCTTTAAGTATCCATGGTTTATAATCAGGACAACCTTCTCTGTGATAATGATTACCATGAGCCACTATTGGAACTCGATCAACAGAACAAGCTGAACATAAATCTCTTTTGCAATTAAAACATTTCACATGATTACATTTATCATCTTTTGTTTAAATTAACTAACAAAATGGACAAAGAAGTATTGGCATACCTTAAAATGCTTTTTAAATCTCTTTTGCTAAACTTGGACATTATTAATTCTAATATTAATATTAAATTTACTTGTTAGTTTTCACCATGATATTCTTGACGACAAAGACTACAAAGCATAGTATTACATTAAAAGCATTGAAGTTTAACCTACTTATTTAGAATCTCTTCACTTGCTGTTATTGCCTATTAACATTTACAGCATTTCATAGGAATATCTGCTAATACTCTCCTTTTTACAATTTCACCAAAAAGTGCAATTGAAATATTCTTTTTTAAAAAATCTTAACGATTATTAAATGATTAACCACAAGAATAACATGTTATTTTTTCAAAACTCATATTAATTTTTGCTTTTTCATCTAAATCCTGTTAATAACAAAAAGCATGCACTTTTTTATTACAACAAGGAGTCACTATAGATTCCTCTAAATCTAAATTATATATCATAAAGCATATATTGCATTCTGAAGCATTTTATTATTTCTGTTAAATTAAATTAGTAAGAATTCTAGATTAAAGTACTTTATTGTTATTTGGTTCATTTTCTTCTAAATTATTAATTTATTATGTACAAAGCACTTATTCTTCCTCTGTGACTTATTGTGTGGATGTAATCAAGTTAGAATTACATTTATCTTATTATTTTGGAAATTAATTTTAAAGATTTAAATATTAGAATTAATCTTAAAGCTATTAAATTGATCCTGTTATTGGTTATTGTTTCTCATTTTGATTATGATTGTTTGTAGTAAATTTTATTTAAGAAAATGATTCTTTTGGAAAGTTGTTAAAATTACAACTATTAGTTACTGATGTTTGAAAATTTTTTTTCATAGGATTTAATTATTATTATTATTAAGGAAAAATCATTTATGAAAAATTATTATGATTCTTTAAAAGCTACCATTTTTGAGTCGCATTTGATTGCTAAATAGGTATATTCTGCTATACTTGACCGTTATAAACTTATTATTAATTTATTTATGTAGATTAAGTAAATATCTAATTTTGAATTGGCTAATTAGATTATGGATATTGAAAAAATTAAGGTTATTGAAAATACATTTAATTTTTTGTATTAACATTTTAAATATTTGGTATAGAAAATAAAGTATCAATATTTTAGTTTGTTGAAAATATGATATGAGCTATATTCCCTTATTAATCACCATTTACATATAATAAAATTCTATATTTTAAGTCCTATTCATTTATTTCTTAAACTTAAGTACCATTTAAACTTTTATAATAAGAAGGTGTCCTATCTTGAATATGTTTTTCATAAATAAAACTTTCTTAAATCAAATCACCAATAGGCTTGAACTCAAAGCTTTGAGGAAAAGGGTTTAATGATTATTTCTAAAATATCCAATGACAAAGATAAATAAATTAATCTAATTGCAAATCTTTCAAATTCAACTAATTCAACTCTTAAAAATAATCTTTCACTTTCTAATTCTAAGAAAGTTTTAACATTTAAAAAAAAAATATTCCAAAACTTATTTCTAAATCTCTTGTACTAAAATTTATTAATGGATAGCAATTCCATTTCAAAAGTTTAGATTCTAAATAAGGGGGAAAATAGATATTATTTTTTTTTATATGTTCCAAAATTTCTGCTTTAGTATGGGTCATTGTTGAACTAACAATAAATTCTTATTACAAATTCATTTTCTATTAAAATATTATAATTTATATTATATAATTTAATTGAATAGAAAAATAATATTACACAAATACTTATTCCTAATTTTATATAATTACAAGTGTTATATAAGATATATTATCAATTTAGAATTAATAAAACTTAATACACCCATACTTAAAAAAAGAAGGCTATGCTTTTTCAAAACCTAATATTGATTGAGAAATTCTTTAATATTAAACTATAGCTTTATAGATTTTATAAGAAGATTTCATTCTTTTTGACATTGTGAATTAGGTAATAGTTAAATCAAGTATCCCACGTTCATTTATCTAAAAAGTATTTTATATGAAATACATAATAATAACTATTTATAAAACAATAATATATTTCAAATTTTATTTAATTTCTCCTTAAACTTTCCAACTTTTCTTCCATTAGAATACGTTCCAATATATGTAAAATGGTTCCTAAAACTATAGATAACTATTTACAAAAGGTAATTTTAATCTATTTCAGTACATATACCATTCCTCATTTCTTCATCATCATAATGAAAATTTCCTCTAAAATGCTTGAATTTGAAATAACTTACACAGATTTCCAAGAATTAATGTGTTTTTGAAATATTTCCCATATCCATTCTCCTGTCTTCTTTCCTTGATCATAAGTTCCTTACCAATTCGCTATAAGATTTCTCACTAATAAAAATATATTTTTACTTATATCCTCTATCATCAAATTCTACCCAAATTCCGTGTTTATGGCCATCTTAATTATAATCGCCTTATTCACTTTTTATTTTTTTAAATCAAATACATAATTAAGTTTGTATCTCTAATAATTTACCATTATTTTATTTTAACCCCATTTCTGTATTGTCCATGATCTATTGATAAATTAAAACTTCTCATTTTTAATAAATACCTCCAAAAGTTTTCATTTGGTTACACCCATTCTTTATCTTTCATACCATTTCCATCATATTCCCCTTACCCTCTTTTTTTTATATAAATTTTATACATTCTTTCAAACTCATTCTCTTAAAGCCCTCTATATTTTATCTCACAAAAATTAATCTTTTTTCCTTCTTAATAGTCTACATTATATATTAATTAACGAGTTCTAAATATTTAAAAATCTAAACCTGCTAAATTCATCATCAATATCAATCCATGATTATACTTTTCTTCCTTTTTCATAAAGGCCACCCCCACTTATCTTAGAAATAAATATTATTACATATCATTAAACTTCTAATTGGATTATTCCCTAAATTATATTTACCATATTCCTTCCTTAATCCCTTTATTGTACAACCCTTTATAAAGTATTTAAGAATATCTTTTATATTTTTTAAATACTATTTGAAGTTATCAGCTATTTCTATCCAATTCCCTTCTTTCTTTCCTAATTTAAACTCACCTATTTCTCTTTATATTATAATTTTTTAAATTACAAGTCTTCTAATTACAAATTAGAGCCACTGATCTTTCTCAATTTTATCATATGTTAACCCTATATTATATCTGATTAATAATTTGCAAAACGAATTAATTGGCAGGAACTTATAGTATTAAATAAAATTTACTCGCAAAAATTTTTTGCCAATTCTTCCCATTTGCCTTATTTTCTTCCTTTTTCATCATAAACTCCTCCTCCTATAATCTGGAATGATTCTCTATCGGAGTATCTATATTTAATTATCCATTTGTTTATTTTTTTTCCATTATGATATTATCCTTCATTCAATGCTTAACAATTCCTGAAAATAAAAGAGGATTACTCATTATAATTATCATGCAGCTCGGTCCAAATACCAATTTTAAAGCTGTTTATATCGTACTCACCTCCTCCTCTTTATATGTCTATTATTTATACATGATCTAAGTTAATTTCTCAAATTAATCTTCCTCAAATTATTTTATTGTCCATTTTCCCTGCTTCTTTCCTCCTTTATACTCTCCACACCAAAAAATTTTACATTTTCTACTAATATTATTTTAAAATAAACTCTGAAAAATAGCTAGATAGTTCAGTCCATTAACCTTATTTTACTTATTCTTCATCATAAAGACCTCCGCAACTAAATGATTAAATAAATCAACTCATACACTATCTTAAACCTTGTTTTTTAATTTCTTCTAAATAATGTATTCCACTAACCTTATTTTATTCCATTTCTATATTATCCTGTAAAAATAACTTAAAAATCTCTATGAATAAAATACTCAATTTTACTATTTAAAATTATTGCTTAAATCTGTCCATTCCCCTTATTTTTTTTCGTATTGATCATAGATTCCACCTCCTCTAAAATATTAGAATGATTTAATTACATTATTTTACAATTTCTAGTTAAAGGTTCAATCCATTCATAATTCCATTTATTAATTTTTTACCCATTGTTATATTCGCCTTAGTAAATTATATAAATTTGACTTTAATTTAAAATAATCAATACGGTGTTAAATACTTGTAGAATTTTGTCCAAAACCCTTATTTACATCCATTTTAATTGAATTCACCTCCTCCTCTAAAATTTACAATTGAATTTACATTTTCATATTGTTGTAAACTATATTACATTCCCCTTATTTTTTCCCTTCGAAATATTAACATATTTTAAATCCCTATTTGTTATTATAAGTTTTGATTTTACTAAAATTTTTGATTTGCAAAATTGAAAACTTTGGTTCACATACTTTTTATATTTAGAAGGGAATTCATCATCATCATATAAATAATGGATTCCACTTTTTCGATTATGAAACATTTTATACATAGATAGCATAGATTGATCACATTTAAAAAAGCATATGTCTTTATCAATTACATCCTTATACATGATTTCCCAATCATAATAATCAAATCTTAATTTATATGACAATACTTTGTTTTTTTCTCCAAAATAACCCATTTACCTTATTTTTTTCCTTAACTATCATATTTTCCTCCTCCTCTAGTATCATTAATATGAAATTGCTTACATAATTCTCCATTCCTCACTTTAATTTTTTCTATAGAGTATATTCCATTGATTGCACTTTTAACCATTATTATATTCACCATTTTAAATAATTTAGCACTTTCTAAATCAAATATGAAATAAATTAACAACTTTGAGAAATTTTTGTCAATTTCAATCCATCTTCCTTTTTTGAGACCCTATTCGTTATATTCGCACTTTTGTATCTATTAATTTATTAAAATATTTTGAAATGATTCATTATTATTTTCTCTGCATTTATATACAAATGTCGAGTTTTTCAACCCTAGATAATACTATCCATAACAAATTATCTAGCATCCACTAAAATAGCTTTAAAGTTTACTCTTAATTATTGTGCACCATTTTGAAATAGGGAATATAATCAGGATATTGACTTATTTCTAAATTTAATCTTACTTTGGAAAATAAAAAACATTTATTGTTAATTCTAAACAATTTAGGAAAAAGTCATAAAATTCTATGCAATTAGTAATCGTTTTCAAACTATTATTGTTCTAAATTTTTACGCTTCAAATATACTTGATCTTAGTTTTTCAAAAGCTTTCTATTAACGATCTTAAATTTATAATCCATAACCTATTTATGTACTTGTCATTCTCTTTATTATTTAAATGATTTTTTCTTGTTATTATATTTAGTATTATTAATTAACATATTTATAAAATGTTATCATCCAAAATTCTACATAAAATGATGATTCTATTATTTTGATTGGATTCAAACATCTATTTACTATTATTTGGATTAAATAATACTATACCAAACTTACTATTTATTTTATCACAAAAACATAGACATAGAAAATTGTTTTTATACTTTTTTATATAATAATAAATGTAAAATGAAATATCGAAATTGAAATGCTAAATACATTAGGAAAATAAGGTGCAATTCATTTGTATGAGTACAGAGTGCTAAGCCTCAAAATTATGCTGCTTAAATTGTCAAGAAATTCATGATATACACCATGATTCTTTGAAAGACATTGATTGTGCTTGGGAAGAAATAATATAACATAAATAACAATAGATTGAATTAAATAAAACTTTAGAAAATTTTTGGTCATAAATCTAAGTCATTTTCCCTTAATTAGATAAGATCATAAGTTTTAATAGATTTTTAGGTTTTAATCTTATATTTATAGAGCAATTTATAGTAGAATTAGAAAAGGAATTAAAATAGTAATTGAATTGTTAAGACTTAGATTAAATAATCTAAAAGCACAAAGCAATCTTTGTGTTATTCGATGAAAAAGTTTAAATTTGTAAAAAAAAATACTGTATTAATAATCTATTTAAATAAAGGTTAACCTAATGAATTAGATGTGGATAAGATGTTATCACTTTTTGATGATGCAAGAAAATTATATAAAAAAGGTGATAAGTAAAATGCAATTGATAAATATACTGAAGTGTTGGAGTTAAATGAAAATTTTATATTTGCAAGATTAGATAGAGGTTGAAATGATTAATTTTAATAAATTAGGAAAAATGAATCTAGGTTTGAATTATGAATAAGCATAATTTGATTATGAAGAAGTCTTAAAACAAGATGATCGAAATTTCAGAGCTTTAAAAGGATTAGGTAATGAAAATTTTTTATATTAGCTATCTGTTAAAAAATGAAATGCAATTATAGTGATGCTTTATTTTATGCTTAGAAAGGTCATAAATAGAACAGCTATTCTACTCACCTTGTCTTTCATTTAGGTATTTTTGTTGTCATGCATAGCTGATTGTTACAAGTTTGAAGGCAGAAGTCAATAGGCCTTACACTTCATTAATTTAGCAATAGGTTAGAAGAAAAGAAAATATGAGAATAAAATGAAAGTTTATTATAAAAATAAAGGTAGATTCGTTTAATTAAATTAGCTGAAATACATCTTGGTCTAAATGATATATAAAATGCAAATTTCTTCATAAATAAAGCATTAGATATATATTAACATTATGAAATAGCAATAAATATCAAAGGTACTCAAAAGTTTCATTCTTTTAGAGAGAATTAATAAGATTGCAAAAATGTAGAATGTAATTTTGTGAATATATTATTATATCTCTTAAGCTTCTATTGTTTTTGAAATTTTATTAAATTAAAAAAAAACTTCATAAATAAAATAAAATGATAGATAATATTTTCGATTATGCAGAAAACCTTCATATTCAAACTCATGCACAAATCTAAAAAATATTTGATCGCTTCCATAAGTTAAAGTCCAAGCTTCTTGAATATATCAATTCAATTTAAGAAAATTTATAATTATGGCTTAAGGAGTTTAATTCTAAGTTTAATTAACTAAATAAAGAAGATGTAGCTTAAGCAAAAGTATAGCATCAAAAAATTGAAGAAGAAAATAAAAATTGGATTACTAAAATTTCAAATGCTTTAAATAAAATGAAGAATTGTGATGAATACTAAAGTTTTTTTAATTAACTCTAAGGAATTCACAAAGAAGATTGTGAAATTAAATTAATAAGTACAATAATATAATAGGAATGTGAATGTAATGCTATTTCAATCAATAAATCTGGATCATTGATTGCAACTGGAGATGCAGAAAATATTAGCATATGGGAAATTAAAGAAGGAAATATGAAAAGAGTTTAACAGATAACAAAACATCCATAATTTGTCTCTTGTTTAATTTTTAGCAGATTTACAAATTCATTTATTTCTGCTTGTAAAGGAGGCAGAATTCATTGTTGGTAATACACTGTTGGTATTGGAAATTTTTAATCTAAATCTGAATAATTTCAATATGGACCAATAAATTGTATGATATTAAACAAAGAAGATAATCAACTTTTTAGTGGAAGTGAAGCTAATAGAATTATTGTTTGGAAAGTAGATTTTGAATCTTATCAATTAATAAAAATGTAAGAATTATAAACATAAGGTTAAGTGGAGGGTTTAGCTTTGAGTCCATCTGAATAGATTTTAGCATCCATATTAAATAATAAAGAAATTGCTATCTATAATAAACAAAACAACAAAAAATGGTATTTTCATTCAAATGCTACAAAAATCACTGATGAGTCTGGATCAAGAATATGTTTTTTATCTGAAAACAATTTCATTTGGGTCACTGGGGGATAAGCTGGAATAGATTCTATTTGTTTTTTTGTAGAGGATAATGGGCAATACAAAGAGACAGAAAAGAAAATAAAATTGACTGAAAATAAAAAGGAATATGATTTTCATCAATTTGATATAATTTATTAGAGAGAGAAAAATATTGTAATTATTAAATAAAAATTTTAAATATGGATTATGAGAGTTAATTATAATGGTGAATTGGAAAAAATAAGTGTAATTTAATGTAATTCTAAAAGAACTGTTGGAACTTTAACTCATGATGGGAGCAAGTTTATATATTTTGAAAGAATTGATAATAGAGTTGGAAAATTTTATATATATAATCTTGAGCTAAATTGAATTTTATGAGGGATTAGAAAATTCTTACAATATATAAAGAATTTATTATTAATATTTTTAAAATAGTGTAAACTATGTTACTATACATAAAAACCTTTTTTGAAAATTCTTGATATCCCTAATACTTTTATCTACCCTCTTAGTAATAATTAAATCTTATTTTTCAATATCATAATCAAAGATTATAAATTTTATTAGTGTATAATATTCTAGAGATCTTTGATTCGACCTAACCAAATAATTGAAATATGTTACTGGTAGCCTTCAAATGAATTTCATATCTCAAATTTTAGAAAAATAACATAATAGTGTTGTAGTTTTACTTTTATTTATTGAATAGGATTTAAAAATCATCTCTTATTTTAATTCAATTGCTGATATTACTGCTCTAAAAAAACAATAAATATTTAGTTTTCTCCTTAAAAATTTTTAAGCTGGACAAGCTTTTTTCTCAGTTACTTAATTTATTATTATGGAATACAAACAAAGTATATCACCCTTGAAGTACAATTAGAGAGATTCTACAAATATCTATGGAAAAATTTTGAAATTTTGAATTATTAGTATTAATTACTGAAACATTTTTTAGAATGAGTATTAGAGTTATTAGAATGTCATATGGCAAATAATTGAAAAACCAAAAACGTTTTAAAACTAATATTTATAATAGCCAATATTTATTAACAATATTAAGTTTTTATAATATTTATAAAATCATAAGCTGAATAATAAAATCTAAATATTAATCGAAATTTTAAGTTTTTAAATAAATCTCAAATTTTAGTAGCACACATTTTAAAGTCTATCTTAATTATTTTGCTACATTTCCCAATGATTTTCAAATTATTCTTAATGATAACAAGAGAAATTCAAATAATTTATCTTAATGATATACTTCTTCTTTTTTTTTATTAACCCATCTCGTTTATTCCTAAATTTGAAACAACTCAATAGGAATTAATTATAAATGATATATTTATAAAGATAACCAAAAGCATCTCAATTGTAGATATTTATAATTAAAAATGAAAAGATTTAGTAATTTAATAATAGGAATTGAGAAAAATTATTAGAATCTGATTTAATTGAAAAATTTTTAAATAAAAGAGTAATTAAATTTAGAACATTTAGAATTGATGAAATCAGATAAGAGAAATTTATATATTAAGTTTATGTTTAATTTAAATTTTTATAGCATTTGTTTAATTTTTGCTAAGCTACATATCAACAAGGTATGGATTAGAATATTCAAGTTATGATTTATAAATGTGTCACATTTTGGAAGATACAAAATAATATCTAAAATAATTAAAAAGGATTTTTTGTGATAATAAATACATTGTGTGTTTCTGCATTTAATGAAATAAGAATTAAATAGTTTGCCTTTTAGGATCATAGAATTTCGGTTATAACTTTTCTAATAAAATGATGTATAGGAACTTTAAACTGATTCTGTGTGACAAAACAATATAATTTATATTAAATCATGCATTTACAGATACAAAGAATGGATTAATATCATTGATTGGTGGTAATCCTCGAATAGTGGAAGTTAAAGTAAATTTTGAATTTAAATAATTTTAGATTGTATAAGTATATCTTCAACTGTTATTTATATCAATTAGTACTAATTTAGATTCATAAATAGAATATGTAAGATTGAATATTCTATTGAGTATTGAAATTTTGGCTTAAGAAGTAGACAAATTATTTTTGAGATACCATCATTATTGTTAGTTTAAGATAGACCTCCTATATTTGATTATAGATGATATCAGATTCATAAGAATTATAATGAAAGAGGTATATTATCAATGGTCTTAAAACTCTATATTAAATAATTGATAATATCTTAAGTAGTGAAATAATGCAATTATTATTGCTGCCTCAGTTATAAATAATAATTATTGATAAAATGAAAATTAGTTGAATTATTCATAAAATAGATTAAATTAAACTTAGTCTTTCATACTATTAGAAATTTACATTATTATATATATTTTGGATAAAAGGAAATTCAAAATTGGAAAAGTAGTTTGTAATGTAAATTAAGGAAAGTAGTGAACTTGTCTTCTTTGAGTATAGTTACATTATGAATTGTAGAGACATTTCAATTGAAATTGTCCCATAACCTATTTTTGATGTTGGAATATTTCCTGATTATGTAGGTATTAATTCAAATAATTGAAAATTAAAGGGAAATTAGCTAAGAAACTAAAGTTAAAACAAATATATATTCGCTCCATTTTTTGCAATCAGTATTATTAGGTCTTATTACAAAAGAATAATATAAAGTCTTTTATTTAAAATTTCTACAAAAAATATCAAGATTATTTAATCCTAAAGTGATTTCTAAGATTTATGTTCATTTTGATTAAAGTGAATATAGGGTTCCAAAATTGTTATTTCATTCTACAACTAAGAATGTAGAATGCATAGTTTGGCTATTATTTAGGATTTATAGTGTAAAGGTTGGTGATATTCATTTTAATAGCTTATAATGAACCATGCTTATCTGCTAGTTTGTCATCATAAATTTTCACTATGTCTTTGATTGATTTAGTTGGAATTAATGTTAATTACACCTTTATACATATAATTGAGAAGCATCTTGCATTCATTATTTATTAATATTGTATTTTAAACATTTTCTAAAATTAAAATTAGAATAAAATATATTTTTGTAAATAATAGTTAAGATTTGATGATATAATAAAATAATTATCAATAAAGTTCCATACTTTTATAAAAATAATAATAAATATATAATATATATATTATTTGCTTTATCTGCAGCAAAATTATGTTGTGTAGTATAATATCAATTTCTGAATAGTTATAATATGAAAATTGATTATTAATTAGTAAATGAGAATTTTGATTAAGAAGGTATGATAAACTTAATTTTCAATTAATTACTAATTATAAATAATAAATGGATTTATTTCAGTTAATAATTTAATTTTTATAGATGAATATTTTTCACTATATCCATAAAATACAAATTTATTCTCAAATTCTAAATCTAATATTTTAATTTATTATTAGATAAGGAAGGAAGTAGCTATATCCAAACATTCTAGCTTGTATCCCATTTGAGTAGATTAAAAGATTCCTCATAAAGATTTTGATTTTATGCCTACACTTTATTTATTTATAAATTATTAATAGAATTATAAATGTAGGTAAGTACATAAGCATGAAGATATGAAAATAGATAATATTTTTGAATTTTCATTAAATAATAGACTTTACTAATTTCTTGAAATTCTACTATTTATAATTAATACCTGCATGTTATTTTATATAAATAAAAATAATTTTAGATAAATATAATCAATCTAATTAATTAATTACAAAATATTTATTGATTAGATCATAAGAAATATACTCATTCTTTTATTTTGATATATTTCCAAGATTCTGACATATTTTCAATTATATTATTTTTATCACATGCTTATTCTAAAATTTACTCTTATTGACTTATAGAAAAATCTTTAAATAATCTTAACACACCAGAGAGTTGGTGTTAAAATTTATTGTAGAAATAGATTTGTAATTTTAATTGTATTAATATTTATAACCAATATTAATCTGAATCTACACTAAGATTTTCAGTATATTGTCGATTATTAGTATTTATTTATTGAAAAAACTATATATAACTGGAGTCATATATAGTTTTTTCATTATGAAAAATAGCAGAACTATTACAATAAGAAATAAGGATTATTTACTATCTAATCTAAAATTTTTAACAGTTCAGTAAAATGAAAATTAATAACCCTAGACTTACAGGAATGTTTAATTATTTATTTTTTTTAATATTCTTATTATATTTTTCTAAAATCATTCTAAAGAATAATAATATTTCTGAAAATTCAGTAACGAGGAGATAAATGAAAATATTCTTGAATCTATTGTTAAATTTTCAAGAAACTTGTTGCTTTCCAAAAAATGTTAGCTTTTATTTAGAAAGTATTCTTTTTTATTAAGTAAAGAATTTTTTACTTAAAATAATCATTCCTTCAATATATTCGAATTTATAATTTATTAAGATTATTTTTACTATTACAATGTTATATCATGTCAGCTAGACTTAGGAAAAATGTTTATTAAAACTGAATAAAAATCATGATTGAATTCTTATCAATTGTTTACTTTATTAAATAATATAATCAGATTAACCTTTTTAGAATTAATATCTAATTCAGGTAGAAACTATCTTACAGCTTAAATGGGAAGGGGCAATGTTATGTAATTGATATCAACCCTGAGACAAATAAGTTAATTCATACTACCTCTCTCAAGTAATGTAAATAACTGAAAATTGTATCTTAAAAGTATTATAATTCATATAACACCATATTAAAAAATAAATTCTTTGCCTTAATTTCTTTACTAAAAATTCATCCAGATGTAAAAGCACGATTATAACTTTTAAAAGTGTAACCTTTAAACATGCAATTAAATTATTATCCTTGATCTTTTCCTAAATTTCTTATATCCTGATTCTGTAATAATACAATGTTTATTTTATTTTTTTATCACATTAGTCAAAGATGATATAATTCTCTAATTTTATTGAAATAATACTATATGGAAAATCAAATGATCTAATGAAGCATACTTTTGGATACTAAAAAGCCCAATAATTGAATAAAAACACTTAAAATAAAGTAGAAACTACTTTATAACATATGCACATCAACTTTAAATAACATATATATGTAAGCCCCTCTTCTAATAAATCATCTATTTATTAAATGGTTTTGTATTTTTGAAAAAAGATATTAAATTATAATTGCAAAAGCTTTATTCTTTTTTTTCATGTTTTTCGCAAATAATGATAGTAAAATGTCTTCAAAATAAGAAATATCTGATTTTGATAAGGGTAATGAAATATGTAAATGCTAAAAAAAATTATGCTATCAATGTTATTATACTAGAGTATTTAAGAATGAGTAGATTATGCTAATTTATATTTTAGAACAATTCATATATAAAAGTTAAAAGAAGAGAATAGGGAAAATGCTACAAAATAATTAAAATGTAATTCAATGTTATAAGATGCTCAAAGTCAACTTAATATGATGTAAGAAGAAATCAATTTGATATTTACAAATGTAAAAGATGTCATCAAAAGTCTTTCAGACTACTTCTCATCTGGTGATATGAGTTTTCAAAATTTTCTTAATAAAAATGAAAAATTTATGAAATTCTCTACAACAGAATTAAATTTCTAAAAAGATTTTTTAGAAAGAAATAAGTTTGTTGAATAGACTAAAAGTAAAGAAATACTTGCTTCTTTAATCGAAAAAGCAGGAATAATTTTTTCAAAAATTATTTAAAATGCATATAAAGCCAATTATCTAATTGAATAAATTCAAGAATATTAGTATCAAATTATAATATATAAAGCATCAATGAAAAAATAGAAGAAAATATAGAAGTTAGTGAAGGATTATTGGGTTATAGAAATAGATTAATAAAAAAACAATTTAACCTTTTGACATAAAAAAATGGAGATTAAGTTTTCATAAAGGATGGGCAAATTCTTGGGATGTAAACCTTATTTTTTTTAAATAAATAGATTACAAAAGAATATGGGATCAGTAACTGGATAAGTTAGATATAACTTAGAAAAAATCAAATATTTATAATTCTAAGGATAATTTGGTATTAAGGGGTATCGAATTAAATAATGGATATATTATTGGAAAGGATTATAAGTGGGAGGTGGTTATTATAATTTACTAGGATAAAAGGAAGGGGAATGGGTTGATTTAACCAACAATTATTGGGAGTATGTATTCAAGAAACTAATTTACTAGTTTTAGGAAAATTGTTGAAAAGGGATCTTACAAATAGGGTAAAAGAGTTGGAGTATGGTATATTCATATGAATAACTAAGTAATGTATATTATTTTTAATACTTATTTAGGATAGGTGGATCATATGATGAAAAAGGTAATGGTTTAAAAAATGGGAAATGGACTGATATTGCAGACGGATATTAGCAATATCAAGAACTTACCTATAATGGAGAATATTTAAATGGTAAAAAAATTGGTAAATGGGTTATTAAGTTTAGGGATTAAACTATGTAATTATTTAAAATTTATTAAAAATAATAGCGGTGGAGGCTCATATGATGATAAAAATAAAGGAATAAAGACAGGTAAATGGATTGAAATTAGTGATAATTTTAATAATTTAACTTAAATACTATATAATGGAGAGTATATCAATGGTATAAAGGTTGATCGATGGGATAGTTTTATTAATGGCTAATTTAAGGATTAGAAATAATACAAATTGTAAATATAAATAATAAGAAAATATAATTTCAGCGGTGGTGGATCATACGATAATAAATGCTGGGGATTGAAGACTGGTTACTGGGTGGAGAAATTGGATGGATATTCTCTATATGATAATCTAATTTCTAATGGATAATACAAAATTGGTAAAAAGTTTGGAAAATGGGAAATTAGGCTTAAGAATGAAGTGATGTAATGATATAAAAAATTTTTAGAGGAGGTGGATTTTATGATAGTAGAAATTTTGGAATTAAGGTTGGCAACTGGGTTGAAACGAACAATTAATATTCACACATATCTGAAATCACTTATTTGGGTGAATATTGGAATGGTCGAAAAGTTGGTAGATGGAAAACAAATTACTAGAAGAATTAAGTGTAATTTGAAAAAAAAAATGTTAAATTATTATAGTGGAGGTGGCTCATTTGACTAAGGAGGCAATGAGGTCAAAATAGGAAAATGGATCGAAATTCATGATGGGTATCGATGGGATTCTTATGTAACATCAAATGGTGAATACAAAAATGGGAAAAAATTTGGTTTTTGGGATATTAAATTTATGAATAAATCAATGTAATATGTCATATACTGAAAAATATATTTTAGTGGAGGGGGTTTATATCATGAAGGAATTAAAAATGGAATGTGGGTTGATATTGTTGAAAGGTTTTGCGATGATTTACAAATTACCTATAGTGGAATGTACAAATAAGATAGAAAAGTTGGAAAATGGGATACTAAATTTAGAAACTATTATCTTTATCCATTTCAATTGATGTAATTTGATTTCAGTTTATCATACCTATAGTGGAACTGGATAATATGATGAAGAGGGTAAAGGTATGAAAATTGGAAACTGGGTTGAGATTAGCGACAATTATGAACGAGGATAGGAAGTAATTTATTCTGGCAAATATGAAAATGGGAAAAAAGTAGGGAATTGGGATATTCTATTTCATCAGTTTGAAACAATGAAGATGTAACTATCTATTGATATATTTTAACTTATTATTAGCGGGGGTGGAAGGTATGATGAAGGAGGTAATGGAATAAAGATTGGGAATTGGATTGATATTAGTGATACATATGGAACAGGATATAATAAATCTCAAGTGATCTATCATGGAGAATATTCGAATGGTAAAAAAGTTGGTAGATGGGATATTAAGTACAGGAAATATAATAATGATTCTTTTTTAACTATGTATTAATTTTAGAAAATCATTTAATTATATTTAGGGGTGGCGGATGTTATGATGAAGAAGGCCAAGGATTAAAGAATGGCTTTTGGATTGAAATTAATGATGGATTTTAAGATGGTAACTAGATAACTTTTAATGGTGAATATATATAAGGTAAAAAAGTTGGTAGATGGGATATTAAGTTCAGTAAATATATAAGTGCACCATTCTTGTTGATGTAATTAAATACTGATTAACTTATTTTAGAGGAGGGGGATCTTATGATGAAGAAGGTCGTGGACTTAAAATTGGTAAATGGATTGATATCTAAAAGGGAATTTCAATTTACAATGAAGTTATTTTTGAAGGTGTTTATAAAAATGGTATTAAAATTGGTCGATGGCTGGAAATAAGTTTAATAGATAATGAGATTTTATCCGATATTTAATATGATAATTGAATGAAAATAATTTTTTATTAATGATAGAATTAGCAGAAAATTTTAGTTATAAAACTCAATGATACCATAATTATTGATGATTAATATATTTGTCCAAAAATTTTCTGGAAAAAAAGAAATTATAATAGAATTTTTAGTTTTAATAGAGAAAATTTACAAATATTAAAGCTAGTTGTTTTTTTCCATAATTTAGGTAAGCTATATTTTTACATTCTTCATATTATCTGTTTCTATTGCTTTTGTTTTGTTATTGTATAAATAATATTTAATCTTAATGTATCTTTTACTATTAATTTATCTAAAAACACAAAATTATAACTAATATTGAATAAAATTTGTTTAACCTCATAAAATATCTTAGATGATTTAAGAAAAAATACCTCTTTTTCACTTTACTTTTGATATTCATAATTATAATAAAACTGTCAATAAGAATTTTTGCTCATCATTCTAGATTTAAATATTTCTAGAGGATATGATCATCTATTTAATAAAATATCATTTATATTTGCATCTCGAAAACTATTGTTATGAACCTTAATAATTATTCTTTACACTACTAAACATAGATTTTTCAATAGGAATTAAAGTAGGTATAGAATACAATAAAAATAACTATTAAAAAAAGAAATAAAAGTAAAAGATTTTTGATATTTATAATTTTCTTTATTAAAGAAATTTCATATTCACTTCTATTTTATATTTAATTGGCCTTGCAAAAAGCAACTACCTTTAATATTATCATTCTCCATCATATCTTTCTATTTAGGCTATAAAAAAAGCTTTTGAAATATTTCATTAAAGTGAAGGCTGCATTAGAATAAATGAATCAATTGATACCTTTATTTGTTATAATAATCTGAAGTTTATTTATAAATGAATTATATGATGGATTAATTACTAGTCATAATACATTAATTCTATACCTTATAATAGTATCCAGCATTTTAAGGATTTCTTTTAATAGCTTAATCTTAATATTTTAATTCTTCTTTATAATCATTTAATTCTATTAAAGTGTTTGCTTTAGAAATAATCGATTTTAATCTACCTTTGTTGTTGTATGAAATATAATATTAATATATTTCTATCTATTTAAAAAAAATTTCATAATAGTAGATGAAATAGTTATTTATATAATGGAACTTAAACAAAAATTTGATATTAAGACCATTATATATTCCTTCTTGAAATTATAGGGATTGTAATATAATAGGTAAACGAAACAAAAAATGAGGATATTTAACATAAAGTAACATACATAAGAGGGTTAACCATGAAAAAGATTTAAAAGATTTTGTTGATTTATCCAAAAAATTAATAATTATATCCAAATGAATTTTTTAGGATTTATGTTTTCCTAATAAAGATGATAAAATCAATAATTCTATAAATCCATATATCTCCTAATAATGTTTATTTTAGCTTGAAGCTGAATATTTAAAAAAAAAATTGATTTAGACCTACAATGATATTTGAATTATTGTTTGAATATGATAATTATAGTAAAATTGCTAATGTAATATCAAATAAAAATAATGAAATTGTTTATTTAAATTAATTTAAGAGATGTACTGAATTCTATATTAAAAGATTTGTTATGTATTTCAAATATGGATTTTATGTTGTCATTATTGATTGACTTTGATTGAATTTTACCTATTTTATTTTTTAATAGAAATATTAAAAATACTAAAATGTTTCTCCTTTTTTATAGGTATTTTTATTTTCAAGGCATCATTAAGTAGAGAAAAGAATGAATAAAGTAAATAGTTTATTAGGAATATGATGATAGAAGATAGTAAAAACATAAATGGAACTTATATGTTAATGAATACTAGATAAATACCTATATCTTTGAATCTTTTTGGAGCTTCAAAGTAATAATTACAATCAGTTTGATTCAATCCTTAATAAGTTGGAAAACCAATGAGGTTTGAACAATTACTACTTGAGAAGTCTAATTCCACATTGAAAGGATAATTAACATTAAGAAAATAGAAATTATTGATCCAACTTAATATTTCTAGAACCGTCCATAAATAATTAAAAAGATTTAAAACAATTGATATCGGTATTAAACTAAACGAGTCTTGAGCGCTTTATATATATTCCTATTATGATTCTTCATTGTTATTTAAAACAATATACTCATTTAGTGTGATATCATATAAAATACTTCTATCATTTTCAGAAAGTATTCTGTTTATAGAATTTGTATACAATAATTTTGCATGAATTGTATTAAAATTATAGATGGATTTCTTAAAATCAAATTTTAAACTACAAGTCAATACTTCTACTTAAGTTTAATTATAGTTGTAATCTTAAATATCCATATTGTCAATGATTATATTAATAGTATTGCATAAAATTTTGAATTGATATTCAGAGTTTAGTTTCAAATCATAAGTATTATTAGATTAGGATAAATAATACTTCATTTTATTAATTTCACTATCTGAGAATTCTAAATTACATTAAGAATCACAGCCATCTCCATTGTTTTGGTTATTATCATCACACTACTCATATGATTCAACTAAAATTCCATCACCACAAATAGAAATACATTATTTAGTTTCTATATCTCCAAATAGACCAAGGATTGATTCAAAAATCACAATCAGATCGGTAACATGATGTATGATATTTTAGAAATTATATATTATTATCCATAAATTTGATTGCAATTTGCAATTAATACAATTTGAATCACATAATCAGCATTTATCTTCTACATTGTAATACCCATCAATGCATGATTTACAAATTAAATTGATCCTATCTAAACTTAAACATTAAGTACACTCTTTATCACATGTCTTACATGTTGAAAAGTGTAATTTACAACAAACATAACCATTTTATATTTTACAATCAATGCATCCAACTCAACTTTAAACATCACATTCTTCTTCTATTGGATTAATTAAACCATCCCAACATATTGAAATACAAAGATCACTATTTAATAGAAATCCTTCATTACATTTTAAGCATTTACCATAGTAAAAGACAGCACAACAATATTTTTAGATATCCTATTTCATATCACATTTTTCATATTAAATCAATTCACAATTAGAACAACCATCATAGTTATATGTGTTTAAGTAATACCCATAATTACATTATAAACATAGATTGTTTATGCATATACTACATTTAAATATACAAGATAATGAAATAACATCTAAATAGTAAGCCAAATTATATTCAATTTCTATTTTAAAAGAACTTTGTCTATATATGGTTTTTTTTCTTAAACAGAAAGCCACAAAAAGAAAGTTAACGATTATTTTAACATTTAATCTCCATAGGTAATTACTTATTTGTTGACATTTAATAATGTATAGATTTATCCACTTGATATATATTTAATTTATAGTCACGAGGCCATATTTGATCCTATATATTTGGATTCTGTCCTGAATAATTTTCCTTTAAAGTTATTGTTTCTAATTATTGATCATTTAATTTATGTGTAAATTTATTGTTATTTAATGAAATATCCCCTAAAATCACTTCAAAAATATTCTATAAATTAAAACTCTTCTGTCCAACTTTTAGTAAATTTAAATTCAGCATTACCTCATACTAATGGTCCTCCAAATATTCTTTTATTTGAAAAGTAGCTATAATAAATAGCATCATCTTTTTAGAAATTAAATGAATTATATGATGAAATAAACTAAAATATTGTATCCGTAGAGCTTTTTGCTGTTGATAGATCATAAAATTCTCTTACTAATTATTTAAGCCGTCAATTGTTATTTTTTGAAATAATATCAACAATGCTTAAGCAATTAGTTTCAAATATTTTTGTGTATTCTGGACATTAATTCATTCATTATCCAAAATAGAGATATTTTTAGGGTTTACAAATTAAACAACTTTATGTACTTGTACATTTAGGGCAGTTATCTTCACATTTATCTTAAAGATCTAAAAAAAACTATTAATTATGATTACTTATATCTTCAATACAGACATAATCTTCATCATCTTTATTATTATCATATTTATCTTAAAATCCATCTGGAATTTGAAGGAACTTTTAATCTGTTCGATCCTTACTAGAATCACATGAATTATTAGAACTCAAACTTATGTCACTATAACAAGTTAAAAACTATTCCTTACCTTGACCTAAGCAAGTCTTACAAGTTTTGTAACATCTATCTAAAATCAGTTAGGCATTTCGAAATAAATAGGCTTCATCAGAAAATGGTTAATCAGTTGTATTTCAAGATTAACTTATTCTTGAGAATGACTAGCCTCTTTTAAAGAAGGCTTTGCGAATCAACTTATTATTATTATCATTATTTTATCCAGAACATTATTAAAATGATTTACCCAAAGAAGTAGGTTTTAAGCAAAAGAGTATTAAAAAGATTTTTCAGATATTGCTAAAAATAAACTTTCGTTAACATCAATAGTAAGATAACCATGCACATCAATATATAGTTAGATTTAGAAGTGGGTAAATTTAGTGTCAATTATTATGTTCTAAATTTTATAATATATTTAATTTTTTTATCGTAGCTTAATAAGTCCATTCCTTTACTACAAATTAATGCTTCTAAAGGTTAAGTAGCTTAATCACTACATCTCAAAATTGTATTAGTAAATAAAATCTATTTAGTATAAAATTCTTCATAAACAGAGTGTAAAAAACAATTAGCACTAATTAATAATAATAGAAATTTTAGATGAAAGACTTACCTTTACATTTTAATTTATTTATAATATTTGAAATTTAAAAAAATGTTCAAAATTTAATACTAAAGAATTTATTAATAGTCTAGGATATCACAAAGAGTCACAGAAAAAATATTAGGAAATTCAGTATCAATTCATTCACTTCTGAATAAATTTTTTAAAGAATAAAATATAAATTTTCCGAAAGATTCTTAGTTGTAAACCTAAAAATGAATAGTCCAATTCAATAGATAATTATTAGTAATATTAATTCTAATTTGAATACTAAGTAATTATTTAGAATTATATATATAATTATGTTAAACTTCAAATTAATGATTGTATATTTTTTACATTAAAAAATTATCAATTTTGCAATTATCTTATATCCAAAATGAAAAATATATACTTAGTTTATATTTTAAGTGAAATGTTTTATTGATAATATTTAATTATTTCTATAGTTTATTATTAAATATATTAGTTTTCATAATCAGAATTCTATGTTATTATTTATATATTTGTTAAATATTAATAATTTACACATAATCTGCATTTTTTTATTTTGGTTGTTAATTTTCCAAAAATTCATAGTAATGCAATTAATCAACAACCTCACTCTGTTAAAATATTTTGAAGTTCAAGTATTTTATAGAGGAATTTGATAATCGAAATAATATTTAATAAGTTGGATGTTTTAGTTGTAAATCCTAATTATAAGCAATATTAGTATATTCAAATATCAATTGCTAATAATAATAAATCATAAGGAGATAATATAATAATTATGAATTTTTGATCTATCTGTTGAGCTTTAAGTAATGAGGAATGTAATGATGATAATATTTATTATTTTGATGTTTACTATAAATGAAAATTTTCATGCACTCAATAATTATATATTTTTCAGAAATGTATATGTAGTGATAAGAATATTTTAGATTTTATGGAGTTGCGCTTGCTAATATATTGTGATACCAATTATCCAAATTAAGAAATTACATTTGATATACTTCTTTTAGTAAGTAATTTTGATCTTACAGATTTTGAGTAATTCTGATGAATTACAAGAAGACTTATAATATAATGCTCTATAAAAAATGGAGATTGAATATTTAATAAGTTTTATGAATAAACTATTTTAAAAATTGAATTAATAAATGAGTTATTAAGTTAAATTCCATATTTACAATTATAAATAAACTAATAAATTATAACAATTATATAACAGTATTCTGATATTAATTTATTACATAATATGAATTTAAATAATATAGCTTCAATTATTAATATACTTATTCTTAAAATTTCTTCAAAAGCTTTATTGATTGTGAAGGATTTATTATTGCACACAGGTTCACAATATGGATTATAATACATCAGTTTTGAGTTGAGATTAAGTAAAAAATCTTATTTTTAAATAAATCTAGAAGATTCGAACTACTTTTCAAATCAATAATAAACATATAATCAATCAAAGTGTTTTTAATTTTTTTTTAATTAGTTTCTCTTTTAAACTCTATTCGAAATTTTTTCATGCATATGAATATAGCATTTATTAGAGTTGCCTTAAAATACTCGTCCAACCTCAACACAACTTCCACTTCTAAAGTTTTCTTTTACTATTTGAATCGCCTCTCTATAACTGTATAGCGTAGGATATTTTTCTAACAATTATTATGCACTTTTTTGAATTTTAGATGAATATTTCTCCTTTTACATGAAATGGTTTGTTCTGCTTTCTTTATAATTCATGATTTTTTTTTCAAAATAGGAATTAATATTAATTTAAATGCTTCTTTAAAATTTTTAATGAATGAATAATTTTAATTTAATTCTGTTGAATTCTATTATTGTAGTTAATCTTGAATAACGTATATATAATGATTTTATTTAGCCTAATTTGAGATGTTTCATATAAATAAATCTTGTTTGAATAAAAAAATAACCAAATAAAATTTAGTTAATCAAAGAAAAAGTTAAATATTCCTATCATATTCTAAGATAAAAATCGTATCTGTCCTTCTTTAATTAATGGAGGAGAAAATGATCATTAATTTCAAAATCGTTGATGAAAATCAAGATTTTAAAATTAATTATTCAGAAAAATCTACTGTATTTTAAGAAATTCATCAAAATAAATTGAGGCGCATTATAATAAATGAGAAGGGTTGAAGAAACATAAATTTTTGTCCAAAATTCTGAACTGATTGTAAAACCTCAAATTCTAATAGCTATTAAAATAGAATTAATATTAAATAGTATTAAATTTATTTAAAAACGGAAACAAAAGAATTTAAGTTATTAGAGTTTCTATCGTGGAGAAATTACAAGAATTTTACAATAAATTATTCCATACATAATTAACCTAATTTTTAGAGCATGTAAATTCATAAATGAAATAGCAATAAATAAATATGTAAAGTATAAAAAAAAATATCATTAATTATGTTGAAAAAAATGAAAATCTTTTTGATTTGGAAGTTCATTTCACATGATTAAACAATAACAATAATAAATAATGCTAGAATCAAATATAGACAATTATGAAATTTGGAAAAAATTATCAAAATGTTTAAATACAAGAGGATTATAAAGAATATATCAAATTTTGACCTATTGAATAGGTAGAACATTAATAGAAATTAATTTAATAGGAGAGAGGATATCTGAAAATACGATTGATTTGATCTAGAAGTAATCTGACATCCCTCTCTTTGATTATATTAAACGCTCCGATGTATATTAAACATAATAAGTTTTTGAAAGTCAACAAGTTAAGATCAATTGCTAAATTGAATTTAGATTTTTTTTCAAAATGAAACTGTGTTTTGATATTGAATTTACTAAAGTTTTAAACTATTATTTATCCATATAAAGATATATACCTTTATAAAAGGAAGACACAATTATAAATGTAATACAATCAATTTAATTGTTTATATAAAATAATTCATTGCAAAAGTTTTATATTATTTTAAACGTAGGAATATAAAATAATTTTATTTTAAATTTCATTAAACATAAGTATTTGCCATAATTATAAATATCATTTTTAAATTATNTGATCCAACAAGCTGTTCAGATAATATGCAACTAAGTAAAATGCAATAAGTTAATAACAATATTTTTTGCAATTTTAAATTCTTTTCATAGGCTTTTTCCAAATAGTTTGCATAAATATTGCATTATAATATAAAATTGAAATGAAATGAATCTGAAATGAGGGCTAATTTTTCCATAATTAAAAAAAATAATCTTAAATAGAAAATTTTCAAAACACAAAAGTTTCAATATAAATATTTTCCTTTTTAATATAATAAATCCCTATATAATATTTTCCTTTTTTAAAGTAAATAAATCTCTATATAATATTTTCTATTCTAATTATTCAATTTACTTATATAATACTTCCCATTCTAATGTATTAAATTTCCTTATATATTATTTTCATTTATAATGTATTAAGTTTATTTATATAATATGTTAATTTGTAATGAATACAATTTCCATTTATAATATTTTTCTTGATAAATGAATTATATTTACTTATATAATATTTTCCTTTGTAAAGTATTTATTCTTTATAGAGCTTTCTGGGGCTGGAAATTAACACTAGGACATTAATGTAAGTGTTAGTGGGAACTTCGCACTCCAAGGATTGTTCTGAGTGAACAAAAATGATAGTACATAAATATTATGATTTGAACCCAGATAAAACTTTGTATCATTTCATTTTCCAATAATGCCTCTTGTATATTTCCTGATTTAATTTCAATTGCCTATTAGAAGTGAATCTGATCCTATTATAAATTGTTTGTTTTCTGATCAAAATTTAATTAGTTAGTAGATTGTAATCTTTTTGAATCTTAAATCTATTAATGAGATATATTTTCTAAAGCATTACAATGAGAGATGAATCGTAGAGTTGAAAACTTCTCTGCAAACTTAGAATTACTGTTTAGCTAATTTTCCAAAGTCAAGTATATTTATTGTAATAAAAAAAGAAGATTTTAAATCATTATCAAATTATTGTTATATAATTTATATTATCTTGAAAAGGGTTTGGGT